CCTATAGAGGAAGACTGTGGACTAATCAGAAGGTCCTCTTGGACTTGTTCACTTCCTGGAACTGTCTGTTGATCACTCAGTGAACTCTGAGATGCACTGACAGGCTGGGACACTTCCTCATGGACTTCCTCATCACTTAACCTTTCGACTTTGACTCGGATATCTTCTTCAGTGCCCAGAGGCAATGCAGCTTTTGTGCTCTCACAAGTCACACAATCAGTCATTCTTCTACCTGGCTCAGATGGGCCAGGTAATTCTAAAGTCCGGGTGTTCTCTGACTGCTTAGCTTTCTCGGACTGAATTCTTCTATCAATTCCAAAAGGAAAAGTCCAGGGAAAAGATAAAGAAGAGTCAACTTGTTGATTTCTATTTTCTGTGTAGGAAGCTGAAGAATTCAATACCTGGGGTGAACTTGTTTGTGTGCTACACTTAACAGGACTCTCAGGAGACATAACAATGTAGCTTTTGCGCTTTCTCCGGGATTCTCGGCACACGGGAATGGTTCTTTCCACCACACTGCACTCTGAAGATACTGGAGAAATGCTTCCATCTCGAGAAGTAAAATTGCAGTTAGAATTTTCTTGTCCAGCATCTAGACTCTTTTCTGCCTGGCTATTGGGTGTGTTCCATAAAATACTTGATTTCATGAACTCTGAGCAGGTGCTAGCAACACTAAACATTTGCATGTAGCTGGCTGCAGCTAGAACATCAATAATGTTTTCTGTGTTAATTGACAGAGTGGCTGTGTAAGCATATTCTAAAAGGGGAATAAAGCCAGTCACTGTAACATGATGCAGATCCGGCACACTCTTGTTCTCATCCTCTGCTTGGCCTACAAGCTTGGTACGAAAGAAATCACCGCAAGCTGCTAGTACCACCTTATGAGCCCGGAAGATTTTATCCTGGACACGAATAGTGATATCACAGAAATGTCCATCATTTCGCAGCATATTTAGTTTTCCAAGCATTTCCTGACTGTGGGAAGAGGAACTATGAGTAAATGTTTTCACACCCATCTTTTCCTTTCTCTTCTACAGATGCTCTTCAAGGATGTAAATGAATCAGAAATGTCCT